ATGTTATCGATTTAATTGAACGTGATTAATTCTCTGCACACTAGCACAGGCCAAACATATTTGAATTCACTTCCCAGAACAATTTATTACATGCGTTTTCAGGCAGCCCATGGCTGAAAATGAATCAGTATAGATTTGAAATATAAATGTATAAATGGGTGACCGTACATTTGAACCCACGTACATTTGAACCCATGTCTATATCCGCGGGTTCAATCAATATGCGGGTGCTGAAACCCATGGGTTAGGGTTAGTATGGGTTCAACTATCCGTACAACAAAAAAATTTCCATAGGTGCAATAGTATGCAGGTGCAATTGTCATGGGTTCAAATGTACGTGGGTTCAAATGTAATGGAACCGTATAAATGCATTGGCGAGATGAGAATTAGATATCTGAGCATATGTGAATTTTCAGCGGGTTTTAGAAATGATTTTTCATGTTTTATTAAGATAACGCCGCAGAATTTTCGTACAAATAATCAACTGTTGTTACAAAAAGCGATGAGAATTTGTGAATATATCATCTTGGCTGGGGTTGCAGACGAAAATATGGTAACTGCGCTAGAAAATTGATCATCAGAAAATTATTTACCTGGCTCTAGTATATATATTTCAGTACAACGGTCATTTTTTTTTTTTTTTAAAATGTTACCAATTTGAGATACTATAGCCTGTATATAAGATGATTAAAAAATCATTTTCGAGTTATAAACACATACACGAATTCATTTGAGTTTTTATATTACTTAAAATATATGGAGCAAATCTGAAACATCATCATTAATCGTTATCGATTTTGCGTAATTTATCTGTTTTTTCCACATTATTGTATATAACAAGGGTAGCCAACACGTCGATCACGATAGACCGATCGATCTCCGCAATTCGGGTGGTCGATCGCGTCTGATGTAGGTGAATTTAACAACATACCTCCAAAGTTGCCTTGGGCCAGTTTCACGCAGCGCCTGTTGTGTGTTTTGAAACAGGACGAGTACAGTACTGAATGTACATATGCAAAATACACATACAGCATTTGAGCCTGGGCAAATCCAATAGAGCATATTATTACGTAACAAAGTTTCGCCACTACCAAGGTCTATCTCTAAAATGAACGTGCCGAATATTGTGTGTCCTGACTGGCAAACGTGTAGTGAGTGCGGGGGTCGACAACCTTCCGAACTTGTTCGCGAGCTATTTTGAAGATTTTAGTCGATCGCGGGAGAAAGCAACCCTTGGACTATATACCATGCCAGCAATAAATCTTTTACTTATAGTTTTATTTAGATATCTTATGGTCTAAATATATATATATATACCTTAAAGTTTATAAAATATAAATCACATACGTTTTATGCTAGTAAAGAAGAGCTCTTTCGTCCCATTTCCCTACCATTCTCCGCTATATCGATACGAGTACATTTATTATATCTGTTTGGTATACTATGAGCGATTGCAAAACGGCTCTCGTTAGACCTTTCCCTTTGTTTGCTAATTGTCGTTTCCTCGAATCTGGACGACACAACACTCACATAGGCACATATTTACCTCTGTTAGTATTCAAATGGAAGAAAAATTACTCGAATTATTGACTCCATTATTCGAAGAATCTCAAATTACGGACGTGAGGGATGTCACGACCAAAGTGACTATAAATATATAGTTTATAAATATAGTTTATAGTCACTTTGGTCACGACGAGTGAACGCAACATTTCAAATATCTTCAATCAAAAAAGCAATGCTATTATTTTACAATGTTAGCGAATTTGTCGTAAATGTGGATCTGACATGGCCCTGAAGAAACGCGACACAACTCGTAAATTAATGGTATCGGTGTGTAATATTTTCAACTGCATGTACAATTTCGACCTAGATACATAACCGCGATACATCCATTCAGACGCAACAAACATGGTGTCGTTAAATTGCGCTCAGAATGGTCTACACTTCCTGCATATGCACTTTTTGTACACAACACAACCTCATCGACATTCACTTTGTTTAATATTGCACTTCTAGACTGCAGTTCTAAAGATCAAGTCTAGATTTACACGGGGAATTACGTGGGTTACTCGTTTCTTTTACCTCGGCGTTTTGATTGTTCGTCGTAGAGAAGAAATAACCGCGGAATCCGGATAGTTGTAGACTGTAGAGGCTTCTATATTTTTTCAATTTACTAGATAGAATGTTCAATTAGCTACCATATCGATAAATTTTTTTATATCTTACACAATTTTTGCGATTAAATTCTACATCGAAAACTTATGGGAATCCCAAATTTCCTCAACAAAATTCAGGTCTTAAATCGCAGATTATTACCTGCAAAAATATACAATTTATGTTCCATTGTACGGTAATTCATATGTATCTTACATAACGTAATCTAACAAATCAATAAATAATTGGAATACGGCAGCGTGTTTACCTGTCCAGACTTTCTCAACAGTGCAAAGTAAACCAACTGCACAAACTTGACATTTTTCTGCGAAGTCTCCTCCCATTGTTTAATCCTTTGTTGAATATTCTCTGTATCATCGCTGTGAAACAGATCAATGCCTCCGTTGAGAATAGTTTGCCAAAGGCGTTTCGCAATTCAGCTTCAGTTGTCCAAAGGCGGTGCATTACCACATCTTATCGACAATTCGTTATTTTAGATGTAAGTAGTTGTTAGAGGGTCAGTGTATCGTGGAAAAGAATCGGGAATGTCAGAAACTATGGAATAATATTCTTCACTCAATTATTATCATTATATTTGTATATTAAAGTCAGTTCAGCATCATTTTGGTGTCTAGGTATCTTTAAAAGATAATGTTTAAAGATTTTTTGCATTTGCTAAAGCCCCGTTTAACGCTTCCTTTGATACAATATTACTAATGACGCGGACTAATTACGCAATAACGCGGAAAAATATACTGGATTCTCAATCTTTAATCGCCTATTACTAATTAAGTACATCCCCAATCTAGTCTGGATATGTCGGTATTAACTGACTGAAATTTGGAATCAGTGACATGAGATTGGTGTGAATCTGAAAATCGGGCACTAGAATGAAATGCCCTTAAAAACATGTTATTGTAGAGGAAAATGACTGTCATAATGACTTATACAAACCAGTCTGAAGTATTATTTACTCTCTTATGTGATAACTCGCTATCGGAATATTGAACTTGTCAACACTTACTTACCATGCTGTGTCACTGTGAAAAATTATTTTTTGTTAACATTTTTTTGCTCATTGTGGTATTGAGGTCGGATGCTATTTATTTTTCGCTTAGCGTTTCATGTTTCGTAGTTTATCAGAGATGATGAAATAGGAACGCGACTTGATATGAATAAACTTTAAACATTATTATATCACGAATTACTTTGTCACTGCGTTCAGTTCGTGTAACGGGCAACGTCGACATATTTTTATCGGATGTTCGATAGCGCTTTATTTATTAAATATCTTCTTGTTGTGGGTCGAGGGTCACGTACGTCATTGAAGTTAGCTTCACGAACTTGCAAGATCATGCTCATCAACTCTTTCGATATTGGAGTATTCGTCGTAGGCGATGTTGTCGTCATCATTTATTGTCTCCGTAGCCCCGGGGCACGTATAGTAAACTATTTAAACGGGACTTTTAAAACCGAACCGGTATCATAATTCGCTGACGTGGAGACAGGTGTAGCGTAAAGTTACCAAGCAAGAATAGTTGTGGTTATATTCTTGCGAAATCGTCTTCTCGAGAACTTGTTCTACTACAACGCTGTTTTCATTTGAGTCTACTTCTTTCCTGATCTATTTTGTCATTTGCTTCCCGTGTGCTCGATATTCTCAGTTAATTTTACCGAGTTTACATTGATCATGCTTTCCGCATTTGCGATTGATGAACTCTGAACTCAAATTGTTGGGTTTGGCTCGTCGGTTACAGGCAAAAGAAGTGTAACTGTAACAGTGTTTCGCTTAAACGAAGTGAGGTATCATATTTCGCGCAATGATTTTGAGGGATCGTGGGTTGATTTAGTGGGTACTGCTCTGGAATTAGCCATTTAGTCTATCTACGAATATTGTTTCAGATTTTTCAAATTTGAATAATTTGTTGAGGATATATATTCTATCGGAGCGCCTGTTGTAATTATATTTTCTCAGATTCATGTACATTTCGCAACATTAAGCGCAATTACTATAAATTACAGTGCTTGTACGTTAGCTGTGCACAGAGATATTGACCTCGAAATGACGATGCAAAAGTTTTACGAATTATTTACTGCCGTTCGCAAAGCATACAGTCAGATGTTATTACCATTAGCTCGTAAACTTTATCTCCGTCGGATCGTTTCTAGTAAATTTGCAGAAAGCTACCGGCGCTTGTTTGCACAAACACAAAGTTGTACAAATAAAAAACTATATCAAGTAGAAAAAGGCAAATTGCTTTTATCGAGTACTGCAAACCGTATATCATCGTAGTGTCGGCTTCAAGGATCGTCCATTATCGCAATGATATGGCAGTGTCCGTCGACTGGGTAGCCGTGAATTATCGTTGGGTCATACAGGTATACAGACGATACAAGCTCGATCTATATTTTTAAATACCTAGAGTGAGGCTAATGTTAGAGGTCACAGACATATGATGTTTGTAAGATGGAAAGCCGAAAATTAAGATGAATGGGGCCTTCCTGGGAATTATACTTATAAGATTTTAAGTGAATCTGTTTGACGCCGTAATCGAAATAACGCCGTAACGCAAATTTATCAGAATTTGGGGGAAAAATTCATTAAAAATATAAATACATTTATACGTCATAAACTCGCGTTTATCGGTCAAGACAAGTGGATATATACTGTATATTTATACCTGTATCCGCTTTACGGTAGTATTGTTTGCGGCGGCTTTTAAAAGCAATAGCCCGAAGCGCCGACTTTGCCACGTTGACGGCGATTTTGCCACATCCTTGTGAAGTTCAGCGGCGCATTGAAATCCCTTCATTGTTAGGTTGGTCAAGCATGGTCAACAGATACACAGCCCTCATATTTTAAATTAAGCATAAAACATCTAGGATGTATGTAATTGTCTCTAACCCAAAGCTCTCAGTAATTAGAAATATCTTTATCAGTAATCAGCGCTAATTTATATTAGCAGAATTATTTTGTTTTTACTTTGGATTACTTTATTTTTTGCAATTGTGCAATTTTTCTCTATCGAGATCATCATGTCTAACAGTCAAGAATCGAAGGTAAGTCATTGGGTGTGACTTCAATAAAAGCGACTCAATCTGCTTTTGGCTGCTAATATTTAACCAGCTCAACAGTAACAGTTAAAAGTAATTTATTATAATGCGGTAATAATTTATCGTTTGTCAATACAGGATCGCCCTCGCTCAGAATCTATTTGTTAATTAGTAACATACCTATCCTATGACTCATGCATTTCGCGACTAATAATAACCTTATCTTTTATATCAGTTTAATATTTTCATTATACCTGTAGATTTAACAATATAAATAAACAATTGCATGTATACGATATACCCAAATACCATGAATAGTCTATTTATTTTGAAATATGGATAATTGTATGGTTTTCAAAAGGGAATATCAAATTTCCCTTCATAGCAAAAATTAGATCGTGTCAAATTTCAAATGTGAAAATTTTTGTGTTATTTGCTACACTTGTGTTGAGTATTAGTGTATATTTGGCACAATTCAAAGTTACCTCAAATGCCCTATGAAAATTGGTTGAATAGATGTAATACACCATCTGTGGTTTGTTATATCTGATTCTAGTGAATTCAGAAATTGTTCAGAATAAGTCTTTACACAACAATGTTGCTATTTAGAACGAGCATACCAAATTAGAACCAATGTTGATGGCCGCATATTGACAAACCAAACCCTAAATGCTTTTGATTTCAATAATTCCCCAGGGAAAGGTTGATAAAATGAGGCATCCAGTTTCAAAGTAGTTTTGTTACATAGTTTTCAATGACTATAGTCACTTGAATATTTTTTGAATTTACCTGACATACCCTGAATTTTGTCATCAAAATAATTTGTTTTTTATTTTATTTAAGGTACCACCAAGGTCTGAAAATATTGTCTTCCAACAACATCATGTTTCGAGAGCAAAACGTGGGCAAGTTATGGGGCAGAGAGGAGGCTTCAGAGGTTGCACAGTGTGGTTTACCGGTCTTTCTGGAGCAGGTAAAACCACTGTATCCATGCAACTTGAAGAGTATCTGTGTTCAAAAGGAATTCCAGCTTATTCGCTTGATGGGGACAATATTAGACATGGTTTAAATAAGGTAGGAAACTTGATATGTATTACTATGTAAGTTAAGATTTTTATGTTATGCTAATGTAAAAATTTCTTTTCTAGACACAGGCCTGTGTTAAAATAAATTTACTCCATATTTATTGATCTAATTTTTGTGCAATATTCGTTTCATTCTGCAATTTTTAATACCAAAGAGAATCAGCTGCAAATAAACCAGCTTCAAGACTGTGAATAAATCTTTACGATAATAATAAATCTGATATCGATGAATTTGTCGTTTTCAGGATCTTGGATTTTCTCCAGGTGATCGTGAAGAAAACATTCGTCGTATCGGTGAAGTAGCAAAATTATTCGCAGATGCTGGTGTTGTCTGTCTTGTATCTTTTATTTCTCCTTATAGAAAGGTTTGTGTTCATAAATGTGTTTTCAATTTATCTGGTCGCTACATAATGTTGATAGCAGTTTTTGTGCATTGTGAGATAAGGATTTTTTTTTGCTGTGAATTGGGTTATCATTTCATTTTGAAATTTATTTTATGTCTACCAGGCAAGAGATTTGATCTGGCTATTCGGTACAATAGCTCTTAGCAGACATAATCTAATTAATTTTGATTTCTGTTGTAGATAACTGATTTGTTAAAGCTTGACTTTTTTGATTAATCAGCTTCTTTCGTTTCAATATAATGCAAGATAATCCCACTAAGCTTGATGGATGATTGTTTGAATTGATTAACTATACATACTACTAATCTCAGCCTGGTACAAAATCTGAACTTAATTCCCATGATTTGTGTGCAAATCAAGTCAGGAGAGTGGACACACGGGTGGTCCTTGGAACGATAATAAGATAGATTGAATTTCTTCATTTCCAAGTTTTTCGTTTATTAAATGTGAATACAATTCAATATACCTTTTTAGCAATTAACAATAAATTTATGATTCCTCTTTTTCCAAATATTTCTGTTAAATCAAATGCTATTGAAATTTCACCACTAAAATGGAACACATGGGTGGTCCTTGAATGATAAGGAGAGAGATTGAATTTCTTCATTTCAATTTTTTTTTAAATGTGAATACAATTTCAATATAATTTTTCAGCAATTAACAATAAATTCCTAATTCTCCTTTTCTTCCAATTCTTCTGTTAAATCAAATGTTATTGAAATTTCACCACTAAAATGCACTGAATTATGGGAATTGATAGGATCGTGAAAGTGCCCGGCGTGTTCATGAGAAAAACCAACTTCCATTTGTTGAAGTGTTTGTTGATACACCGCTCATCGTTTGTGAGGATCGTGATGTGAAAGGTCTTTACAAGAAAGCCCGCAAAGGCCTTATTAAAGGTAACTTATTTCAACTACTTTTTCTAACAAATCATTTTTTTTCTGCATGTTTTTTCAATGTCAAAATAATGGAAAATAGGACAGGGATGGGGCTCGAGATTCTCACAAAAAAGCTGATCTCAATTTTATTGAGGTTTATGTTGATACACCAATAACAGAGTGTGAGAGACGTGATGTGAAAGGGTTGTACAAAAAAGCGAGAGCGGGTGTCATCAAAGGTACCACCCAAGTGCCAATCAGGACTGCCCATATCTTAATTTTTATTGCATGTCAGCATTATATTAACACGATTCATATTTTAATTCTTAGGTAGTGAAGATGATGTTATAGACATTACAAAATTATGTTATATTAGATTATTTATTAATTTTATAATTTGGTTGATTTATTTCTAATGAACTCTACTGTCAGACATTTTTACCTGGCTGGAAACGATAAATTTCTCTTATCCAAATTTTTGTGGCCACCAATTTACTATTACCATTTGGAATATGAGGACTGTACTGTAGTCAAATATGAAGATCGTTTAAATGCTTAGGAAGTAACTTCTGTAATTTATACTCTCTGTTGGTACATAAAGTGTAATTTGAAACTGGTTCTTATCTTGTATTTGTATATAATCATTATTATGGAATCAAATCATAGGTGCTTTACGAGAATTATTAATTTCAGGTTTGCATCAACAATCAATTTTCTAACATTTCCAAAATAGATAATTTTTTAATTTATTAGGTCTGATTTAACTTAATGACTATGGATGTAATATGCTTAATTATATAATTGTAATTTAGTTTGTGATATACGGTAGTTAGTAATCCTTTTTCTAACTTATTGAATTCAGGATTCACGGGTATCGATTCACCATATGAAGCACCGGAAAACCCTGAAGTTGTTGTCAAGACAACAGAAATGACAATCAAGGAATGTATGATGGAAGTTGTTCAAAATTTGCAAGAAAAAGACATCATTCCAGCCTCTGCAACAGAGAAAGTGAAGGAATTGTTTGTACAACCTGAAAATCTTGCCAAAGCCAAGACAGAAGCCGCCAGTCTTCCAGTTCTTAACATTACCAAGGTAATTTCTAATTGCAGATGGGAATCAAGATTACAAAAAATAAAAGTGATATGAAAGCCTAAAAATTATGCTGCGAGTATAGTCTCCAAATTGAATGAAATAATTTATATATTTTTCCTGGTGGTAAACTAGTAATGCGTAGTTTATAATATCTGAATCCTTATAAACCATAGGAATTTTTAATAAGCTGGGCTGAGATGAATTCTTGAGTGCTTCAAGTGAGATGGATGGGTAGGATGTTGTATAGATTGAATTTGACATTTTCACTACAATAATGTGTTGATTTTTGTAAGTAATATATCACATAATATACCAGGTAGAAGTTTTCTGCAAATTGTATTTCACCCAAGTTGAAATGTATACTGGAATATGTTTAGGTTCATCTTATTATTTTATTGAATTTTCTCTCAATAATTATTCATGGATGTAATTATTAGAATATCACTATTTCTCTGTGTGAAGTTTGAAATAACTTCTGCTCTCTCATCTTTTATAACGCTAAAATGCATGGATTGTTATGCAATAAATTATTATATCCATTTTTTCAGTTGGATTTACAATGGGTGCAAGTGTTATCAGAAGGTTGGGCAACTCCTCTTAGTGGATTCATGAGAGAACGTGAATTTCTTCAATGCCAACACTTTGGCACATTACTTGATCATGGTGTGACTAATCAGTCCATTCCAATTGTCCTCCCAGTATCCAATGAAGACAAGGAGAGACTTGCGGTAAATGTTTATTGTTATAATATACCTCTAGATTCCTGCTTACAATTTATTAATGGATATCAATAGATCTATTCGCACAGTTTGCAAAATACATGTCATTCGTTCATATATGGGCCATGTTCAGGAATAAAATAATTTATTGGGTCAAATTCTAGGCCAATACCATGTAAACATTCTGAAATAGGTTAAATACACTGATTACCATGTTACAATTTTTTTTTACCAGTCAATATTTCCAGCTACAGAAATTCCCATGATAAACAAACTTCCTATCTTGTGCAGGAAACTGGAGCGTTTGCACTCTCTTATGAAGGAAAGATATATGCCATCGTCAGATCACCTGAGTTTTATGAGCATAGAAAAGAGGAAAGATGTGCAAGACAATGGGGAACAAGCAATAAAGGACATCCTTATATCTCTGTAATTGTTTTTCATTTAATAATTGTGCATTATCTGGTACATTTTGGTGATTGCACAATTTGAATCAAAATTGCTGAACTTCAGAGTTATTTCATATCTTGGAAGCTTTAAGTTATACATTGTGCCTTGGTAGGCAGTAGGCATATATATATTGAGATGTTTCATTACCTAAAATACATGTCGGCTCGAATCAGGCACAATCAATATTTTCTCCATAAAAAAGGATCCTGATAATAATAACTTAAACTTAAATATTAACTGTATTTCATCATCGATATTGTTCCATCAGCAATGGTTTTTGTAATCTTTTACAGATGGTTCAAGAATCTGGTGACTGGCTTTGTGGTGGAGATTTGGATGTTTTGGAACGTGTAGTATGGGGAGATGGACTCGATAATTACAGGTATTGTTATTTATATTTTCACTATCCAAAATGACATGAATGAATGTAATTTTTTTTAATTATAACTTGTTTTCCCTGTTTAAGAGATGCTATATTCCAGTCAGCTGTCAATGAGTTATTCATTTATTTTTAGACTGACACCAAATGAGCTTCGAGCAAAATTCCGCAGCATGAATGCTGATGCGGTATTTGCATTCCAACTTCGTAATCCAGTTCACAATGGGCATGCACTTTTGATGATGGACACCAGAAAGAAACTGATTGAAAGAGGATTTAAAAATCCAGTTTTGTTGCTTCATCCACTTGGTATGTAATTTATGCTTATTTAGGTCTTTCCATAATATTTAGTGTTTGTTTGTGAAATGTGTTAGTTCCCAACTTTGAGCATATTTATTTTTAGGTCAAGAATAGTAATTTTAGGTAATTTTGACTTCATTATCGGGGTGCATTTATGACTTATTATATCTTATTCTGTTTAGGTGGATGGACCAAATCTGATGACGTACCCCTTGGAACCCGTATGAAGCAACATTCTGCTGTTCTTGAAGAAGGCGTGTTGGATCCCAAATCTACTGTTGTTGCTATTTTCCCCAGTCCCATGATGTACGCAGGACCAACAGAGGTGCAATGGCATGCCAAAGCTAGAATGTCAACCGGGGCCAATTTTTACATAGTTGGACGAGATCCTGCAGGAATGCCACATCCCGAGGAAAAGAGAGATTTGTACAATCATTCTCATGGTCGAAATGTAAGTAATGGAACTATTCTGTAATATGACTGACTGATGATACAATGATAATCTGGTATTGAATTGATATGCAGGTATTACCCCAGCTCAGGGGTGGCCAACACGTCTCGAGTAGTCTGATGTTGAGTGAATTTAATAACATGCCCCTGAAAATTGACTAAACAGGAAGAATACAGTATTGTAGCCTACATGTGCAAAATATAATTAGCACTCATTTGTTTTTGTGTATGCCCTTATTACCGATGAGTCTATCGCGAGCTACTTTGAAGATTTTAGTCGACCGTGGTTAAAAGCAGGTTGGCCACCCCTGCCCTAGTTCACTTCAAATTAAAAATGTTATGGTACCATGAAGCATTGGGCAGAATGTTGGCAATATCAGAGGACATATTATGAAATTTGTTATTTCTAGGTTTTGACCATGGCACCCGGTTTGACCCAACTAGAAATAGTTCCATTCCGTGTGGCAGCTTACAATAAAAAGAAAGGACAGATGGATTTCTATGATCCTGAGAACCATGATGATTTCGATTTCATTTCTGGAACAAGGTATGGATGTCATATATTTTTGAGAAAAGCATATATTGTTGATTTTTAGGCTTAAATTAGAAAACTGTTTTGAGAATCATTATTTCTTCATAATTTTTTTCAAAAATTTTGACATGTTTTTCCGTTTGACTCTCTGATAATCATCAATTTTTGCCAAAGGCATCAAGTTACTTTGTGTACAAAATAAAGACTCAAATTCGTAATCAAAAATTGAAAATTTGGGCATAGATAACCATAACCCTATTTTTTAATATACTCAGTAGAAACTTCATTCAAATATTTACTCTGAAAAACCAATAATAGCATTATTTGGTTGTTAGAATCATTGTTTTTACATCTGATTTTCTTTCTTATAGAATGAGACGAACTGCCCGTGAAGGAGGAAGTCTACCAGATGGTTTCATGGCTCCCAAGGCATGGAAGATTTTACAAGAATACTATCAATCATTGCCCAAACAAAGTTAAATTAAAAAACTACAGTAATATTTATTATATATGAAGCATTATCTTATTCTGCCCACAAATATCTCCTTATTAATGCTATTATGTGACTTTATATCATTGCTGCATTCCACTTTTAGTATTAGAAAGCAATCGCTAGGTCAAGGTGCTTGTCAGCATGACGTGCGGAGCTGTGCATGCACAACACCACATCATGTTTGATTTTGAAAATAAATTTGATCCTAATTATCTGAATAACACTCGCAATTTTTTTTTCAAAGATGACCAACAATATTGTTGTTTTTTATATATTTTACTTGCTTATATAGATAGCTGTTTTATGTAAATCGTAAAAGGATTTTATAGTGCCTTCAATACTCATGAATAATTAAATTTGTTGTATAGTAAATGCTTTTAATAATATAAGTGTTGATGTTTTTGTCCACATATCTATCCTTGGTTCGTAGCCTTTGTTTTTAAGTTATACTCATAAGAGGACAGGTGCATGCAATTCTGTTCATAAATTCATGATAAACATGTCCTACTTACACTTGTCATTAAGCAAAAAAACTAATTCTCATTAAAGTTTGTATGTTAATCTCATCAATTGTTATTAAATATATAGTACTGTGGTTGTCAATTTGTAATAAAATCACTAAATTATTCTTCAGAGTGTTTGTGTGCGTTTTCTTCTTCGGTATCAGCTGTAGTGTTATTAATATTCTTTATCATTATTGCCATAATACTTTTACTACGCAAAATGTACAAAAGTGAGGCTGTGACTGTGCACATGACATAAGCGAAGAATAATAATTACATTAAAGATTAAATAAACAGTGGTGTACGTACCCTGGCATAGGCTTCGAGTGCTCTACAATTTCAGGCAGTCAAACAAAATATAGCAAATATCGGCCTCTTGGCAACCTTGAGTCACTCTAGTAGTCATGACACAGTTACCTATCACAAATAAAAATCAGCATCCGCTATTTTAAAGAATGGTGTATTTCAAAACATGACATTCTTGTCTTCATTTCACCAAATTAAACATGTGGGATCCGCATTAGTAAATTCATCCACAACCCCGTTATATTTTGTAGTCTTTGCCGGATTGGGTTTACACTATACAAATCAGCCTTAAGGAAAATGGTTCAACAAACAAACAGTGAAAACAACACAACACATAAAAAGAACAATTGTGGAAAAGAGAAATCAGAACAGGTTATTGTGCAGCTTATACTATTAGACCTATGGGTTGCATAAAAAATACTGCGAGACTTCTAAGTAGTAGTGTAGAAATGCTTGAGTTAGTATTTGAAGTTTTCTCAGAAAGTTCTGGAACTGCCACAGTAAAACCAAGTATATTTGCTCATTAAAAGTGGGGAGACTAGTTATGTTTGCTGGATTTCAGGTCATTAAACAGATACACGCTGTGGAAGAAACAAAGATGAACCAAGGGCAAACGTGTAGTTCTGAATTAGTCTAGCACGGACAGCGATGGAGCCTGATCATAATGCATTTATTTTTGGGCTTGCAGTAGTTCATTGGCATCTTTTTACCCAACACCTAACAAATTATTGTACTAAAATTTACAGAGAATTCAAACCTTAGTAATAAATTTCTGACTCAAAACCTATCCAAGTTTGAAAATGTGATAACCTCTGGACACCATTGAAAAGATGAAAAGAGAGAATCATCTTTACACACACACAAATGTGACCCTTTTATGACAGCAGCTAAACCACATGGGAGCCTTGTAATTTCCCACTAATTAAAGTAACATGCTTGAGTAAGAATAATAAAAAAAAAGAGAACAGTTCTTGTCATCTGTGACTTTTTGCTTTGTTTTTCCAGATTTTTGGTTAAATTGTCAACTCAAAAACAAACACGAAGAAGTTCATTAGTGTCGCTGCCATTCGTTCACATGTCCATCGCAAACTGCTCTTCATCTTTCTTTGTATCTGATAGTAGAGACGAGTGGTGTTTACATGAGTACGAGAAAGAGACAACTTGTTAAAAATGCAGCAGCGTTTTGTTATTGCAATTAGTTGATTCTACTGATTTGGATTCAAACATGCAAATTACAATCAGATGATGTTCTGAAGCTAAACATGCTCTACTATACAGACACCGCCGAACACTACTGGCAAGCAGTTATTTTATTACAGAAGCAAACACAAAAATCATAGAGAAATAGCCACAAAGAGTGACTTCTCAAGGCTGGTGACGTTACTGTACAATACAAAATGGATAAATAATATTGGAGATGGCTGTGTATGAAACATTGCTGAAAAATAATATATACACTACAGCACCTAGAGATGTGAGAAACACTTGCAAAACCAAAGTAAAAAAAAACACATTAGGGAGCACTAAGTAAAAATCATAACAGTCAGGAACTTATTAGAATATAAAGTTAGTCAAAAGATACCACCACAAAGCAAGATGCCAGCTTAAAGTTAGGCTTGAGAAAAATCATTCAAAATTGCAATCCATTCACATCTTCATACCCATGAGCTGTGGAATTGGGGAAAACAGGAGAGTGTAGTTGGAGTTTCCATCAACTTATAAACCCTTGCAAAACCAAAGTAAAAAAAACACACTAGGGAGCACTAAGTAAAAATCATAACAGTCAGGAACTTATTAGAATATAAAGTTAGTCAAAAGATACCACCACAAAGCAAGATGACAGCTTAAAGTTATGCTTGAGAAAAATCATACAAAATTGCCATCCATTCACATCTTCACACCCATAGGCTGTGGAATTGGAGAAAACAGGGGAGTGTAGTTGGAGTTTCCATCAACTTTCTGCTTTTCAAGTGGCTTGTAAGCTATGATGCTTGGATCATCAGGAATAACCATAACAAGATCATTCTCACTGTATGAAGAATCATAAGCAGAATCTCCCCGACTACTTTTGTTCCTCGTGGGTTGCAAGATATTAAAGACTTTATTAAGCGCAGGATAAGGCGCGTGAGGTCTTGGAAATCCTCTCCCACGACCGAAGTTCATCCGAGGACTGGAACATTCCCCACCTGATGAAGCAAAGCTTGAATTGAGCAATGGAGTTTGAGCAGTGGTATAACCGGATGCCGGTGTGCTGATCCTAGGAGGAAAGCATTCCATATTTGGAGAGGGAAAGCTGGAGTTGAGCTGCGGAGCTTTTGCAGTGGTATAACCAGTTGTCTCAGAACTGTTGATTGAATGTGTGCGTCTCCATCGCTCAAGTTGACTGACCTGCTCCATTGGTCGCTGATCAAATACAGGACCAGTTGGTCCTTGAATAGGATGAACAAAAATGGGAGGTGGAGTAAAAGGACATTCCATCGAACCAGGCGGAGGACTGAATATCCCTCGAAATTGTGGGTCCATTGGAGGAGGATGGAAGTTATTAAAAGCACAATGCGGAGGATAGCAATCTTGTCTCATCTGCGATATAGATTGACGTCGACGATATTGCGCCAGAGGTCCCCTGTAGTTGTGTTGTACAGGAAAAGAAGGAGGAGGGACTTGTAGATAGGTGTTGTTATTTGCATCATGTACAGGTGGATGTGGATATTGAAAAAAGTTTGGTCGTCTGTACCGTTGGCCTTCAGAATCATCAGTAGATGAAGGTAATAGAATCAGGATGCAAAAATAAGAAACAATCACATGCAAATTGATTAGATTACTAGTTCAATTATATATTGTAATAAATGAACATGCAATGAGAGCAAATATGTCATGCATGAAATGGAGGACTAAGAAGGCAAACTACAAAAAGAGATATCTAAAGTGCGATATCCATTCCAAAGTTTTATATAATATTTTTAATCAGCTTTACAATTAATATTTTTCACACTTGAGACGGACAATGCATCTAAAAATTAAATGGCAACAGAAAAGCACTTCACGTAGAACGATCACCCAAAAATAAATTCTAATCAACAATTAATTAGGATGTTTTGATAATGAAATTTATGCACAGCACAGCATACCATTTTTATCATAAAAATGAAAAAGTTGGTTAATATCATACTGTTTAGCTGTTTCAACATTAAATGGGTATGACTAAAAACTGCTAATAGAAAGGAGTGCAGAAGTATGCGAAATCTTTTAGTCAGCAACATACTTTGCCAAATAACTAACTGTTCTGACACAGGGAAATTATTACTAGTGGCAAATTAAACTCCAACAATCTAGGAACTGTTATGTTAAATAAATTTTATGTGCCCCCATTAAAAAGCTTGAGGCTCATTAGATAAGTTGTAGCACACAATTCTTCAGAAGGAGAGTGTATTGAATTAGTCCAAATACCTCAATTTCAGTACATGAAACTCAACAAACTTCGAAATTTGAAATTAGTTATAGAATTGAAGATGCAAAATACCAAATTAAATTGTAAGGGATTCTGCGATCATGCTTGGCCAAATATTCATGACAGATTTATAGAAAAATACTAAGAACTCATGCAACCAAAGAATAATTTTAAAAACTAATTTCAAGTATTGTAATATAGCTAACATACAAACCTTCTTGCTCTCCATTTTCCCTTCCTTCTTCTGGGATTTTCCCAATGACATGCTTTGCTGGTGATCTGTCTGGGGTGGTTACCCCTGGTATGTCAGGCAGATTTGCCGGTGGGGTTTTAGACAGTGGCGAATCACGACATTTCAGCAAAAAGAGCCTGTCATATATTATCCTCGTTCCTGAAAATCAACATATTAAACATCTTGATTACAAATACCAGCTGTGTATAATAAGACTTTTTTCCGAAAATTATTTATATTACCAAGTTGTAATGCATATTAAAATTACTTTGTAAACAACATTTCAAAAAAAGTCAACAATCATTGACAAATCTTGATTTCTAACTTCAAAAATACTTTTTTGTGTTGTCAATACCTACTTTCTCAAATAAGAGAAGAAATTATAATGCGACTCACCACCCGGTGTTGTTGAATACATGGTGCCACCTGGAGTTGTCCCATAATCTAATGGAATCTCAGATGGATGACGCACCTACAAAATGAAATAATATGCTCCTATTTGAATTGAGTACCCAAAATAGATCAATTTCAGAAACTGCTGGAATAACTAAACAGCCATGAATATGAATCTTAGTGGATAATATTTTACACTGTCTCATATTCATGAAACTTTTGGCCATATTTTCAGTATTCATTGGAAATATGGCGCTCCAAAAGTGTGTGTGCCAATATGGAGGTAACTAATTTTGTTCGCCTTTACATCAAGTTGTGTAAAGAGACTGAAACCGATAAAATATATCTCACTTGGCCAACAAAGTCCCGAACTTGAAATAGAACTAAAATAAGGAAAACTAGAATATAAATTAGGGCCTAGCCTGGTACACACACTACAGGAAAATACTGTATATACTTTTAGAATCATCTATCATTCATGGTATTTATTACAACTCATAACTAAAAAAAAGCAAGCTCATAACTAAATAATGACATACATAAAAAAAGATCATCTCACTGCGAATATCATGTCAATTTTGAACACTTCAAATTTCATTACCGGTAATTATGACGAAACACCTTCAAGTTGAATATTTGATAAGCCCAATGGTGGTAATTAAAGCAACAAATGTGAATGACATATAAATTGTGAACTCAAATGCACCAATCAATGTATTGATTTACGCATGTCTGTAAAATCAATATCTAATATTAGGGTAAACCACTGGAGCCGTAAAATTACGTATTACAGACCAAGTTGCCATTGAAACAAATATCTGTTGGTATTTCTGAAATTTCTGATTTTTAAATAATTCTATTATAAACTTTCAAATTTTTCACCTGAATACGACGTATTGGTATACTCTGGGCGGCAGCATTGGCAGACATTGTGAAAACAGTTTCCTTCTTTCAAAAAATAAAAATGATGAAAAAGAGTGTCTGATGATGATCGTGTGCTACACTCTTATGCTGCTATGGATAAGATGAAATATCCACAAAGTGGAATGTCTAATACGTATAATTAACAACACCTAATGACTACATGAGAATACAAACGGCCCTTTCCTAGAAAAAAATGTTGAATTTTGTGATTATTTCTTTACTTTTTGTTTTGAAATATATCTCACATAATTTTTGAAATTCCCAAATATTGCTTTAATGAACCTGTAAACAAATTTGTTTTCCTATTCGCCATAACATCACAATATCCCCATATTCAAAACCTTCTTGGCAAGTACATAATCGAATCTGGTTTAATTCTTATTTGACTTCCATTGTTAATCCACGGAGCATAGCTTAGCCTGTTATTAGCATTTAGCAACAAATTGATACAAAAGGACGATTAATGAATCATGTATCACAGTATCAACGAACGCCAAATTTCTACCATACTTTGAATATATCTGCTACTGTAAAAATATCCGTCTGCACAAAATGGAATTTCAGTTGAAATCAAATCTCTGAATCTACTCAATTTCAACCAAACAGGCAAATTTCATGCCAAATATGGTATCTCGTTCTGCGTGTAAAATAAAAACTAGGGCTGTTGTTTTCACATCACATTTTTCTTTGGCGTCATTTAATCAGTTAGGGCACTTATTTTCATATTACATCTACAATCCAATACAGCAATGGGCATAGTTCAGTAGTATATTTCAGTAAAGTCTTAACTACAGACAGACAGAACTACACAAAGATCATGAAAATTGGAAATGAAATCATGATCCAACAACTGAATAGGATTTTACATGAATCAATGAATGATTTATTCAAATACTGAAATACTAGACCAGGATACCAGTGGCCTACAGTTGCATTTATTAAGATTTCACATATTATGGAAGTACAGTAGTCAGGTAAGCCTAGTTGTAATTCATGCCGACTTGACATTGGAATCTAAGCAACATTCAAAAAAAATTACAATTTTGCGAAAAACTTTACTCTTTCGTCCGAAAGTAAAGGTACATTTTCTCTTCTTACGTTAGTCTTATGTTCTGGCAAATCTTCGTAAAGTTACGTATTCGTTATAATGTTACGTACTTGCAGAATTACCAAATTGGTACTGCCAATTTTCGAATATACGCTACTACTGATAAGTTGTAGAAATCACTCAGCGAGCAGCAAACGATAACTGAATTGTGAACGGGGCCGCACTAAGACCACTGCTGCAGACAAAGGTAAAGCTAACGCAGATATTTTGCAAACGAGCGACATCGATTAGGTCATATTACATCACGTGACTATTTTCTGACATCCCAGGTCAATAACTCGTGGTGTGAGTTTGTTTCGCTCAGATCCAGAGTAAACAACAAACGTTTGTTCTTGTTTCTGCCGCCCACTATGGTGTGTACCGAGATTATAGCACATTTAGGCGAGGCTGCTGGACCCAGGGCGGACATGGAAATTGACTCTTCCTTCATTTTGGTTGTAAAAGATTGGGTTGTGCCGATTGTGAAGGGGTGGAGTAATATTTTGCCACTTGGGGAAAGATGTTTAAAGTTGTCGCGTCTTTACTAGCAGGTAAGTATGACTCGTCGTTCCTTTTATGAGAACTACGGAATTGACCATATATTAATTTCAAAAATTTGAGCAAATTAAAGCCACAAGTCGGCGACGGGAACGAATTTGGCGCGGCGGTGTGGCTCATCTTTTTTTTTTTTATTATTGCATTTTATAAAATAAAACAATATTGCAATGAGCAATATCAATCAACAAATAATAATTCACAGTAATACATGACAATATCATGCAAAATCATTTTATGATTGCCCTTCATTTGGATTTTTATAAAAAAAACATTATTGCAGTAAACAATATTAATAAATATTATTTTATCCTATCTATAATTCAATATCAATGTCATCTCAGACGAGCCTTTCCATATACTTAAATATTAGTTAATATAATAGTTATAATAATATAATGATAATTATCTGTTTAGAATAATAACATTATTGCAATCTTTGAATAAATTCCATTTTTTGCTATGTATGTGAAGTTTGCCATTTTTCAATGCTGCATATTTTTCACTATCACGAATATCACATAGAAATTTGAAAAACACATCAAAACTCGGTGTGTTCTTCTGAATTCGGCATCTATATATATAAAAACGGGCAGCCAATAATACACACTTGACAAATTGCAAATTAGGTATATCATCAAACCCTATAAAACTTTCTTTTATACTGAGGCAAAAATTCATATCCTCTGTTTTAAAAACTATCCATTGGTCTACCTCAGACCCAAAATTGACTTGTTATGGGACAATAATAAAACAAATGTAATAAGGTTTCAAAATGTTGTTCACAAAATTCATACATAATTGTATCCACTAATCCAAAACCATGTAATGTATAGTTGAGAACTATAGATTTATAAAAAAGTTTAATTTGAAAGGACCTTAATTTTGTTTCAATTGTTGATGAAAACGAATTTTTAAAGTAGCTGTCCCACTTCACATTGGGAATATTAAAGGACTCTTGCCAAAATGATTTGTACATAATAGGGGGAACAAACTTTTTCAGTATTATTCTGTTATAAGCACTTTTACACAAATAGTTTTCAGTAGTTGTTGTGAGAAATGTCATAAAATCAAAATCATGATCAATCAAAGTTACAATTGTTTCTACAGTATCATTCCATTCCCCAGAAATACTACCTATAATTTTATAATACAAATAATATTCTTCAACGTTATACTATATTTATCAATAAGTGCGAAATAAGTGTAATATGTATCACTTGAAACTAAATCTTTTAACTCTGAAATACCATGTGCTTTCCAATTGAAAACATAAAAAGGTTTTCTATATTATTGCAATTTTCTGTTGTACCATAATGGTTGATTGAGTGTCATCAGTAACAATATTTTTAAAGGTATACCAGTATATGAGCATGTCTTTTATGGTGAGAAATGGAATGTTTTTCATAAAATAAAATTTCCAGAATAGATTACCTTTCAACAACGATACCAAATCTAAATCTTTTAAATAATGAGGTTCAATAGTCTTCTTGGAAGTTCTAGAGTCATCCAATAGAAAAGCAACCCACTTGATTTTCTGTGCTATAATAAAACTGAATATCAATCATATCTACCCCCCCCCCCCTAACAATTTAGGTCCAATTAATGTTTTTCTTTTTACCCTTTCCCATTTCGAATTCCACAAGAATTGATATAAAATAGCGTTCAGTGATTTGATATATATATCTGGAATGAAAACAGGTAAATATATATAATTATATGTAAAAAGTTGGTAAAAAACAATTAAGGTTTTTATAGCGCATATTTTTCCTAGTAAAGTAAGGTTTATCATTCTCCATATTTGAATTACATTTTTTGCCCTTTGTAAGAGCTGGGAAAAGTTTGAATCATATAATTTTGACAAATCGACTTGTATGTTGACTCCAAGCAGATTCAAGGAAGTAGTCAGTCTGAGTTTAAAATGTGACATATAATCAAAGTTAACTGGTGCTCCAATTTGCATAATGTGTGATTTTTCCAGGTTGGTTTTGCACCCAGATATACAACCGAATTTATTTAATTCAGTAAACAGATTTTCTGCACTTTCCCTCGAACCGTCTGTAAATACGTTTGTGTCATCCGCTGCCATGGCAAGTCTCACAGCTACATCCCCTACTTGTATTCCTTTTATGTCTTCATTTCCTCTTAACATGATAGCCAAAACTTCTATACAGGTTAAAAATAGATATGAAGAGATCGGGTCCCCTTGTTTTAGACATCTATGTAATACAGAATAATTTGATAGATAGGTAATATTTGTGACGCACGACAGGCTGTCTTTGTACAAAATTTTGATCCATGTTATGAAATTTTGATGAAAACCGAACCTCTCGAGTACATTGAATAAAAATGACCATTCGACACTATCGAATGCTTTAAAAATGTCCAATTTGAATATAGCACCTGGTATAGCCTATTATGATAAGAAGTATAGTTGATTTTATCACACACCAATCTTATATTTTGTCATTCTGTATATCTGCCTGCCTTTGAGGAATCCTCTTTGGTCTTCTCCGATGATATTATCCATGATTTTTTGTATTTGAGTGGTTAACACCTTACTTAAAATTTTATAATCAACATTGAGCAATGTGATAGACTGATAGGTCTATAGTTTTTTGAGTTATTTTTCTCTTTATCTCTCTTCAATAAAAAAGAAATTAATCCTTGACGTTGGGTATCACTGAGTTTTCTAGTTATCCAAGCATAGTTATATGAATTCAAGAAAGGCACCTTGATGTCATCCCAGAATGTTTTATAGAATTCGCATGGGAATCCATCTGGTCCAGGGCTTTTATTATCGTCCATTGAAAAAAGTGCTGTTTTACAATCAGATAATGAAATTCTGCCATTGCATCTCTCAGATGTTTTCTCAGACGTTTTTGGAATATTCAAGTTATTCAAAATATTATTGATATTGGTTTCATCAGGCATACTTGATCGAAACAAATTTCTATAAAAATTGCAGATTTCCTCTAACATAATCTTTTGATCGGTTACTGTGATGTTGTCGACCCTTAAATGTGTGATAGATGACAGTGTTTTTCTTCTTTTTTTTAACCAAAAAAATATTTGGAGTTTTTTTCTCCATTTTCTGCCCAGTTTGCCCTACTTCTAATTATGCATCCTTGAGTTATATCTTGAAAAAGTTTGTCATATTCTCTCTGTTTCAGCAGCAGATTTTCGTATATTTGCTCAGAGTCATCAGTTAATAATTGCTTCTGTATATCTTTTATATCGTTTTCCACATCAACTATTAGTTTGCTAGATTCTCCTATTTTCCTGCACGAGTAGGAAATTGTTTCGCCTCTAATTATACATTTGAGGGTGTCCCAAAAAACATGAGGATTAACAGGATGATGCGAATGGTCAAAAATGGCATTTGATATTGTAGTGCGTATTAAATTAATGTAAATTTCATCGTGGAGTAGACTACAATTGAACTTTCAATATCCACTACCCCTTGGTGTTGGGTCAAGTTGGATATTTAAAATACAAAAAAATTGGTCAGATCTTGTGCTAGGTAAAATGTTACACCTTATCACTTTTTCCATGTGTGCACT